TACATATATAGGTACTACATGTGGACCTCTTTCAGATTTGTTCATTTCATGACGATATCTTCAATTATCTAATTTTGATGAATATTTATGTCATTTTTGGTGAAAAGTAATATTTTTGAATTCTTGTTGAAAACAAGTCTGATTGCTATACATACTATACATATTGTTCATTTTCTAATGATTTCTTGAGTTCTTTAATTGAAATGTGCATTGCTAACAGCAGAGCGTTGTTTGAACAACGTTGTCTGCTGTACTGCGGTGTTACAATTGGAATGTTTGGAACTTATCACTTGGTGCTGGTTTCCATGAAATCTACATGATGAACCAACTATTAAATGAATGGTCACAATCACAATTTGCTGCCTTCATGTGCAAATTTGAAATTATATTGTTTTACTAATCCTCTCAGAGTTGGCGTTGAAGATGATGATACTACAGGACAAAATGTTTTTCAAGAACTGGGCACGGTAAGAATAGGCAATGAAGAGGTAATTGCATGTCATTGTTTTATGTGGCTGTAGCCATAGTAACCTGAGTGATCAGTGTGCCCGTTCTTAAGTGATTTTTATGGCTGCCTTTATTCTACTGGATCAGACTGCTGGTACTACAGTGACTGAACATTTGAAATTTAGGTACACCATTCTGCTCTGTATTTAGGTGTGGGTAGTCACAGGGACTGGAATGGTCTACCTCTATTACAAATATGGTTCTTGTTCTAGTAATGCTCTGCATGTGGTCTTTCATTGTTATTTCTTTTCTTTTTTGGGGGGCACTGAAACAAATGTAGAGTACAATTTGAAATGTGCATCTCTGACACCATTAACCCCATTACAAAATTAGGATTAGTTTTGTTGTTTTTGAGTGGTCAGTTTAGTCTCAGTGAATTGCAAGACCACCCCTTTTTCCTGCTGCTGAAACTTTTCAGATTCTGAAGTGAAGTTCAAAGTATAAAGCAATATTCTTGCTTTGACCAGTATGACAAATTTTTGTGAGGATTTTACATGGCAAGGATTTTGAACTTTAAAATAAGGTCAGATGTGTATTTTATGATTTTTTTTTCTAATCTCAACACTTTACTTCCGCTAGGGCTGCATCTTGACAACAGTAAAGAAATGTGAAAAAAATAAAAATTACACCACAAAGAGTATTTTTAGTCCCCGTTCGGACGAAGTCCGAAAACGGGGACTTATAATTCGGTTTCCGTGCGTCCGTCCGTCCGGAGTCATATCTCAGAGTCCCTTGGACCGATTCCGTTCATTCTTTGCATGTGCCTAGTACTTTATGTGGGACATATGCACATGCAGTGGTTTAGCGATTCGATTCAAAATGGCCGACTGGCAGCCATCTTGTTTTTTGAAAATGTTGTATTTT